ACGTAGTTATGTTTGATGTCCCGAATAATGATTGAGTCCTTTTCACTCGGTAAAATATTTGCGGTAACATTTCTAAGGCTCCTGTTCAATCCTCAGTATTGATTCCTTCCTTCATTCCTCTCTGTTTTATCCACTTCACCTTTTAACATTTTCTCTCACAAGAGTCCGACTTTATTGGATCCCTTTGTGTTATCTCCCTCGAAGGAGTCAGCAAATTCACCTCCCAAAAATGGCCATGAATGTGGCACAAAAACCGACCGAAACGCACCAACCAGTAGCCTCCGGTGAGGTAGTTTAGTATTAATTACTGTCAACTTCAGAACAAAATAAAAACGATGAGCTAGCTGATATGTAATGGTTGTGTGAAAAGCTAGATTGATGTGAATCCTGCGCAAAGTAACCATATTGTCATCCAACACACCTTTGAAGGAGTATAAGCAAGAATTCTCCTCTGATAGACACGATGCATTTTACTAGAAAGCCCAACAAGGGTATTATAGTTGTGTTCGATTTAAATTGCGCCTCTGTTTTATGGGTGCAACTCTTGTTAGAACACACAACAAGTAAATGGGATTGCAAGAATTCGCAGCATAGTAAACAAAACAAGACAGACAGCTTATCCGAGATGAAGATAAGGCACCTGTGTAACACAGGTACAGATTAACACATATTATTCCCTAACGAAAGCTGAGCTAACAATTTTCAGACAAATTTGTATTGAATTTCATCTGGTTTGGTGCAAAGTTTTGCCAACTTTCGCGCCTAGAATTAAACATCCCTATTAAGTATGACCCATGTAGTAAACGGCAGGCTTATCGAAAATTGTTCCATGAATTTAATACGAACTAATGCGGCTACTTTCCGTATCCATCTCGAAACTTTGATGAATTACCAGAGTTTTTTGCGGTCACACTAAGGCCTTGATGAGGAATTTGCTAGTGTTAGTTCCAAGTACAGGGTGAGGCGAAATACTTTGCTATATTATTGTTCGATTACAGAGAAGGCCTTATGCTAAATAAAATTTACAAGTTTTATCGAGACGATTTTGCCATTTGGATGTCATTTCAGTCATTCTGAAAATTCTGAACCGTATTTAAACCAGATAAAAATTTACAACTACGCGTTAAATTCCTAGCCTAGCCAAAGGCCAGTGAGACCTACACCAAACTCTTGAACACTAGGATTCAGCTAATCATCTGGAAAAAAGAATACAAACATTCGCCTGTTTCGGGTGATTTTCATAAGACCGCCCTATGATTCTAAGACATACATATGTGTTTCCAATGATTGTCTACCGAAAATGCATGGAGTCCTTACATTAATCACAGATGGATACAGTTTCTTTGAACACCGTATAGCACCAGTCTACCACTCACCATAGACTGACCCACCAGTACGGTATCTGGTTTCCTGGGGGAACTTCAAGGTCCTCCTAAAGGGCTAAATTAATGGTCATTATAGCAAATTAGTTTAATCCCTTCTTACTGGTGTGACATGTAAGCGAACGGACATGGAGATGCAGGTTCAAATGCCGGTCAGGACCTATCGAGAAAAAAGTTAGTCTATCGTCTAATTCGTTCGTCAATTGGCGAGGACCATCGTGTAACCTCCAACTCTTCAAGATCCTATGAATAGGCTATAAACACAACGCCTTTAATAGAGTGCAGGTGCGACAATTTTCCAAGACAGCTCATGTCATTAGAGTGGGATTGAGCGAGTCCTCTTCTGCGACTTTGCGGTTTTCACGTTAGAAAGATATCCGTTAAGGTAAGAGTTGACTATGTAGAAGAGGACCATAGAACAGAATACCACGTGACATCTGTGAACCAGATCTATGAATAACATGACCTCGAGTAAGGACCAAACAGTCATCATGAATGTCTGAATAAATACTCGGTTATACGTTGGCGGCTTGGCGTATGAAAGAATTTCCCTCTACCATTAGATTCCAATTTGGTAAGACATTGACTGCGCCAATTCATACAGAACTATATCCGCAGAAGATACTGACCATCAGTGATCGCGTTTGAAGGTTTGTCTCCATTATACAGTCTCTCCTCGAGCACATAACTGTCTTTATTGGTTGCTGATCAGGTGGCTGTTGATCTGTTCGCCGAGCTCGGCAATTGGCTTGCAAACATTTCGTCATCATACGAGGAGACATCACCAGTGCGCAGTTGGGTGAGTGCTTCTTCCTTGCCTGCGTCATCTTCGCATACAAAGATCAGGAAAGATACGGGTTCGGCTGGAGCGGGGTTCGCATACTGGCTCAAGCAAGAACAAAACGAGAACGAGAATTCATGGAAGCGTCGTACTCCACCGAAGAAGCCATCAACAAACGCATCGAAATTGACCCCATTTACCAGCCACTAAGAGCGAGAGAACGCCAGAACCACAGAGCTTAGAGCTGCAAAAGCAACCAGATGAGGAACTCACTATTCAAACGGACACATCAATTGGATTGGAGGAGGCGCCAAACCAAAGCACCAAATCAACCGGCGGACGCAGGGACATTAACCACCACGGTGGAGGAAATAGAGCGGTACAAGTAACCAATCAAACTCGAGAACGGCAGACCACAACGCAATCCGAATCAAGGCCAGAGAGAACAAGCTACTAAAATTAGAAGGCGTTGAGATAACCAACCAACACAAAGGAACACGGACCACAACGCAACAAAGATCGCAAACGGACCAATAGATTCTCTAAATTCGTTAGACTTCAAGTAGCCAATCACGTCAGAAGATAACAGATAGCCTTTGCTATATAAACACACTCAGGCAAGGAAGAATCACCCACCCAACTGTGCACTGATGATGTCTCCTCGTATGGTGACGAAACGTTTGCAAGCTAGTTGCCAACCTCGGCGAACAGATCAACAGCCACCTGATCAACAACCAATGAACTCACTCAAGCTACCAATATTTCACCACATTACCAATAACTGTCTTTATTTTGTAGGGTAGCGTTGGATTCAAGGTAGGTCAGCATTTCGGAAACACAGTTAAGCAAAATTTATCCGCAGATATTTAAGAAAATTTAGCTAGGCTACAGACGTGGTTTATAACTAAACTGGATGTAATTTGTGTGCATTAAACAGTTTGTATTCCAAGAAGTTGATTCAGTAAATTCACTCCGTCACAGGTTTTTTCCTACTTAGAATGCAGGCTGTAGTCAACATTCCTGTACATTTCAATGACGTAAGGAGAAGAAATAGATCTTAGTTCTTAGAAATGCAATACCCATCATGCGTATATAGATGTTCTACACGTTCGTGAAGGTCAATTAGATTTCATATGGAAATGCTGTAAAAGAAAGTAGCAGTTGCGAGTTTGATTACCACATAAAACGGCCCCTTCCATAAAAAAAACGTTATTTTACTATTTTCCTGTACATCAACATCACGTTCTCACCAGTTGATTTGTAATGCATGATTCACGAGTAGAAAATGGGGCTTGTGTAAAAAGGGAAGTTATCGTGGAAAGTTGGTTTTCACAGGTACCCAAGACTTTGAAGTCCCTAAAACTAATGCTGCAGGCGAAAACTGCAAAACACTGTCTTTTCAATGCACATTTTGTGGACAAGAATGTACTGTTGACATCGTGCGTCCACACAACCAACACATGGAAAGCGTACTGAAACATCTTCCACATAGTTTGGGTTTTCTCAGCTTGGTATGTCAAAAAAACTGGAAATTCCGTTGTCTGGTATTTGGTTCATGTAAATTTGAGAGAATGTGAAGTGCAAACGTTAATGAAGTCACATGACAGAAGCCACATGGCGAAAAGTCAGTACGAAAATAGATTTAAATCTAGACAGTAATTTTTTTCGGAGCCGGTGGGAAACCTCTAAACCTTGTTTGGCGCATCGACAACAAATTTTGCAAATGCGACCCTTGGGTAGTTCGGGAGTAGCACAGAAAACAGCAAAAATATCGCCATGGGAACGTGGGTTCATTGGATCTCCACGACAGCAGCTCACCTCTCTTTGGTGGATTTGCTAAGCAGTGTGCAACAGACCCAAGCTTTCCTCCAACCTCCTCGTGATAGAAATAAGATGAGATGGTTTATTCACGTGCGCAGAGGCTTCCATCCTTCCAAAATTTAAAAACGCAGCCACCCTTTGAAGAAAAACATTTGTTGGCATAAAACTGCTTAGTTTGCCCATTAATAGACTTCCCCCAGGAGCAACTTTATTTCCTGGACAAAACAGAGGCTATATGTGGATGTATTCGTGCGAATTGTGGTAGTGCGAACGTGCAGTAGAGTGCCGCAGTAGAATTCGTGGTGGAAATAGTAGGCTACCCGTCGAAAGAAATGACTTCACAGCAACCGTAGTGTTTTCATCTGACGGATAGTCACTAAGCTATCATTGTCAGATATCCTCCATGGCTAAACGAAGTACGAAGCTTAGCTACCCAGCTGTCTGAGAACGATGACGCACGAAAGCATCCCTTCTGTGGATATTTATTGACAGAATCACAGCGAAACATAATTTGAGGCAGTGTGCGCAATGAACAAAGTATGGGTTACGATTGACAGTAAAATCTAATTGATACATCTGCTGCAGCTTACCACAGGATATTTGTGCCTGAAACCGCCATATTTTCATTTATGATAACCAAGTTCGGATGACTATCACGATTTGGTTTTGGTACTTGTGTACGAAGGTAACGACAAGATAAATAAAACAAACGGGCTTGGTGTTTAACAGACTCCGATAATAAAACATATAGCACGCTAAAAACAAGGCGGTAAAGGACACAATGTTGTACTTCCTTAATGGACTAGGCCTTACAACAGTACAAAAGACGGACGGTCACCTAGGTAGCTTAATTCAACCATATCAAACGCCCGAATGCTTTTGTTTCATGGCACGATAACATTTCACCCGTGTGCTGTAGAATTGGACTTAACAAAATTTCATGAGGGGGAGTCAACATACAAAACGAGTCACAGGAAGAACTCAAGGCGATATAATTGATGGACGGGTGATAAGATATGACACCGGATGCAGGGTGGGTGCCTAACCATGACAATTTCCACAAATTAGGTCTGACAGAGTGAAATTCAGATGAAATGTTTCCCTACAGAAGTGATTCATCCACACGAACTTGTCAAATTAGTGCTTCTTGTGGTGGCCCTCATTAGGTGTAGGTGAAATTGAACAAACTCCTAGTTTTTTGTGACGAGAATAGCATGTGGGTTAAGAAGCTGAAATTTGGGGAGATATGTGCTGATTGTTTACATTCCGATCAATCTTACCCTCAACTGATTCTATGTGGAATTTTAGACTTTCAGGGCAGTAACTAAACCCTAGATACCATTCAGGGTCAATTGTTTCTCGGGAAAGCCCGGCTAACGAAGCGGGATCCATGTAACCTTGTACTGTTTCATCTTCATCACGTAAATCCCCATCTGCCATCAACAAGCATTTCTTGTTAAAGTCTCTTGATCAGACGACGTTTTCCATATTTAATTTCTCGGGATGCCCTCTGTGGTCGGATCTGTTCTGAGAGTAGGAAGATGTGCTTTTAAAGCGAAGTTCGATTGAGTAGTCAGGATTCCCACCTGAAAGAATGTTGTTTGAATTTCCGGTATGTGGTCGCTTCCAAAATTTCTAATTAGCACCGATGTCACAAAATCAGCTAATTTAGTTCGCCTGCACACAGCGTAATTTTACCCTGTTTACTACCTTACTTCATTTTTACTCTCAGTTTTAAACCCATCATTCTTTTAGGTAATTGTTCGGGGGGGGGGGATTAATCCATTCAGAAAGAATTCGGGTGTTTATTCAGTAACCCAGAGGCTATGTAGCAAATTACACGTAATTTTCTAAAGCTTGGATAACGTCCTGGCCAACAACATATGGCTAGTGTGATAAACGTTCGTCAGTCTGCAAAATATAATTGCTATCTCTCATGAAAACCCATCCCATGCACTTGTTTACTGCTGAGGACAACGCTTTACTTGCAATAAGTACCCTGGAAAAATAAATCGAACAGACCGTAGCTATATACCATCGGTTACCAAGGCGGAGATTATGACTTGAGTTTTTATGGATGGATAGCTAATATTTACTGGTGTCAAGTTTTTTGCACGCACGCATACACCTCCTATTTCTCCATTATTTCCAGATTATACGGCGATAACTTCATCCGATGTCCCAAATCAATGTCCACTATGAATTCGCCTCCATTAAGCCTTTCCATTTTTAGGGAACATCATAACCCTAAAAGCTTAATCTTTTTAAGACCTGAGTCAACACGGCCGAAGCAGCATCCATTCAGGTGAGCTGTCACAGAGTAGTCCAAATAGCACCAAACTTTTGAAACAAGTTTACAATTAACAAGAATGACAACATTGAGCCGACACCCTAGATTGCATCGTCTGACTGAATGTATTGCACGAAATACTGACACGATCCATTACGCAATAGGTCCGGTAGGCAAGCACAATATCTAATACCAGGAATGCAAAACGTAGGTAACCGATAGAACTAAAATCGAACCACGAACATCCAGACTAACGTAGCTAAAAAACCTACGGTCACATCAAGCAGTAGTCTCTTTTAACAAACGAGTCCCTTTTGAAGGGTACCAAACCCACAGTTTTCATAAACTTTCTCTGTCTTTTCCATTGTCACCATTGAACTGCTGAGATCTGTAGGACTAAAATTGTACTAGTCCATCTAACAGATGCCCCGTCCGGATCGGATCGCTACAACTCCACAACCATCAACGAACACAAACGTGAGTTATAACTAGTGCAAATATACTCGGTTTTACCGCTGACAGTGACGAACAGAATGATGACGCATCTCCAATCCTCTCGCCATGATACTAAAACACTCCGATAAAACCGGCTACTTTTAAGAATCCACAATCGTCCATGCGTTAGGAGGAAATTGTGATCGCACGAAAACTTTTAGATGTCCCACTGTATAGGTTGGAAAAATCGACCGAACTGGTGAACGGAGCCGACACCACGTGAAACAGCTCAGTGTTGTAACCATTAATCATCTGAAAATGGGACCTTTGAACATATTTTATGCGTGCTTCACCCTTGGGCTTAAAAGCGGATGATAGTTATTTGTAATGTACTACTCATAAGGTTGCTGAAAATCCATCGACAGCCCACGACCGGTTTCGCCCTTCTTGAGGCTCATCAGGTAGGCGCAGTCCCCGGGTTTCCGTCAACCTTATGTTCTACTTGAAACCAAATTGCGCGAAATTGGCGAATATCTGCAAACTAATTTGGTTCTTTCGAGAGACTCACCTGGAACCCAGCTGAATCTCTCGTTTATGATGTTCTCAGCTGAGAACAATTTGGTTTCAAGTAGAACATAAGGTTGACGGAAACCCGGGGACTGCGCCTACCTGATGAGCCTCAAGAAGGGCGAAACCGGTCGTGGGCTGTCGATGGATTTTCAGCAACCTTATGAGTAGTACATTACAAGATAGTTAATTTTTATCACAGGATTTCACGTACATGTCTTTATAACTTATTCGATTGGTTTAAGCTACTTAAGTAAATAATGGGTAGTAAGAAGATCATTCACAAAGATACTGCAGCGAGACTAAAATCACTTTCATTCACGAATTTTTACAAAGCTGGAAAATCTCAGGGGAGTAACGTGAATTCGGTTATTCCGTGGGCCATCAACCAGCCTTCTAGAGACATTGACCTGCAATAGTAAACAGAACAGAAATACTGAGAATCCGGTTGACATGATTATGCTGACTGGATGGATCAAGGACAAAACAAACCAACCAAGTTAACCTGGAAAACAGCTGACGCGTAGGAAGGAAAACCTATCATGAAATTAGCTCATTTTACAAAGTTGGAGCGTTAGTAGCCGAAAAACTCGACTATTTACATATCCATGTCGGAAATATTGGATTGGCACCTCTCTGGTTGTGATGCAGCCTGGTAAATGTCATGTAACCAAACTAGTATTTGAGTTCCATGCTTCGAGAATACTGTGGAAAAGTGTACCAAAATCTTGATAGAATGCTTGCAGTAGAAGAGGTGAATGTACAAAGTGGCGTCGATATCTGGATTATTTGGAACGGATTCTGGTCAAAGACATGTGGTCTGGGGAAGCATTGCCTATTTAACAGCAAAAGATTCATTACCAGTCGAGGCGACATCATCAGTGCGTTGTTAGTGGAGGTGTGTTGATGTCTGAAGTGCTCCATGAGGGATTCAACTAACCAGCATTAGAAAACCAGGTGGGTCACATCACTTGATGTACGTTCGGGGGCACTCGCAAGTTTAAACCAAACTGTTTGAGGACTAGACTGGGCAAGCCTCCGACCCGTGTGACCTCTGCTGATCTGATTCATTGCATGAAATGGACCGAATGGTGTCTGAAAGTGGTCAATCGAATGACACCACAATCGCCCATAGGTTGTGTCGCAAAGCATTGGAAACAGCCAAGGAGGTTAGTAGGCAGTCACTTGACCACTACTTGTGTTAATAGATAGGGCACATGAGAACCCTGAAATTAGTCAATCCAGCAACCAAGTATACTGGGCATTGTTCTTGTCCTGTACCACTTGTTAAGCTATCATAATTTCCATGGCAATTTTGTTTTCTTAGAGACTCCAGTTTCTCCCATTTGAGCCTTATCAAGTCACCTTGGCTTATGCTGTATGGATTAGACCAGCCAACACGGTCGTGTTTTCCAGACTTACATTATTTGTCTGATCTCTTTATATTTCAAAGCGAACGTATGCAAGTACTGACTGAGGATACACGAAATAACCGGATTAGAAGTGCTCTTGCGTGATGTCGCGCTTTGTTACCACTTTGGAAATCACGTGCCCATGAAGCAAGATATGAAGACATACACAAAATATGCTTCGACAAAAGGTTATCCTCGTGTGACAGCGCTGATCATCCTTATTTAAGACAACACACTGTTGGTGCAGCTCCATGCAACTTGAGGTTCACCAGGCTGTGGGCTTTTTCGGCGTCACAGAATAGTGGTTCTCCACTACGGACAAGCTTTTATTGAAAACGACTTCTTACTAGTCCAGGGCAGCCTCTGATGGGTTTTAGGACGCCTTCAGTCCACATAGTAGGCCCGTTCTTGAAACGAAACCTAGTTAAAATAGGCGAAATGCACTCATTTGCAAACGGATTTGGTTTTTCGAGTGAATCACCTGAAACCCAGCTGAATCTCTCGGTTTCCAGGCAACTGAATGTGTTGCACAAGGCCGCCTAATGTTTCAGTCGCTACGATATTCGAGATATCGCGATACGTACATATATATATATATATATAAACTAATTTATATATATATATATAACCTTATGACTAGTTAAAATCGCTTTAAGCAAATAGGAAACACCCAATAACCTCACCAGCAATGAATCAATACAGGCTGCGTTGTTTTGGCATCCCATTGTTGGATATGTTACGACTGTGGTAGAACACTGAAGTTAAAAAAAGACCATTCACCAAGCACACTAGATGCTATCGGTCTTCCGAACCCAATAGGATCGGTGAGAATGCATCTTGCTTGACGGTGATCACTTCTGATGCTGCCTATATGGTTATATTTATGGCTGGTAAACGATGGGAACGATGGTAAACTAGGGACTACTTACGATCGCAATTCGAAAAACAAATAACGGTCCCTGGAAATTCAGTAGACAGTTGGCCCAACAGACCAGCCTATCTATTTGGTCTGTAACCCAATCGCATTTCCAACTGCGGTGTGCACTCCTATAAATGAACATAGTTTTATGATAAGCTTCGTTCCTCCTCAACCGTCTCTGGTCTGTTGAGTTACTCCTGCGTTTTCACTGTAGCCACGATCCTTTCTAGCACTAGACCGCTGTATTTGGCTTTCACCACCAGTACAGGGATCAGTCAGGCCAAGCCAATAAGCCAACAACCACTGAAACGATACTCATATAGGTATTATAGTTCGAAGTATTGCTATGACCGTCTGAATGGACAGCTTACACCTAGAACATCGTTCTTCAAAAGATGCACAAGAATCAATCACCACTGATCAGCATGGTTCCGGGCGAATGGAACCTGGTTATGGTCGTTTAACTTATTTCATTAATCCAATGACAGCCTTGTTCGAACTCTCAAAGTCAGCAGTATTCACCTTTATCTCCACAACCATGCCAGTTCGTATCACCAGGCGGAATCTTTCCCATTGTTGTAATTTCGTAGCTAGATACCCAACGAATACTAAGAGGAGAAGTATCCAACCGTAATGAAGAGCGTGAAAACCATGTTTATTGATCTTCCAAGCAATGGTATGCGCAGAACTCTGTTACCTAAACGAGCCAATGGAGCAGTACCTTTTCAGTGTCTTATGCCTCCAGCATCTGTTTAAGAGTGTTTTTCACTGAACTATGAGTAAGCATCCAGTGATTATCGATGGCATTTGTACTGAGTGCTCAAAGGCCCATTTGGGTAGCAGCACGTACCGCCGACCCACAACTTGTGGCAATATGACTCTCGAGCTTCATAATAGAAATGGGTGAATTCGGTTTCACAGTGTGACCGTTCGGAATCGAGTTTCGACAAGGTCCAGTGTGACTTGATTTGGGACGACCAGGAGACGCGTCCGATGGACGCGTTGTCGATTTTCCTACACTCGCAATTCAACAATGAAAAATGCCCGGTAACTTAAGGCTGCAGAAAGCCTGAAGCGAAGTAGATAGTGAAGTTTATTTTTGAACACTGATATACCATTATCGGTAGCAGATCCTTGCTTCCCTAAAAACATCACGCTTCCAGTCCAGATGCAGTAAATCACCACATCGTCCGCTCACAAAGGCTATTTAAAACGCCTGAAAGTAGCTAAACTGTAACAAGCCCGGAACACTTACCATACGATGCAAGTGTTGATAATCTCCCCAATGCAAAGGAACACCTATCCAGCAGACATTTTGTTATCACCATGTTCCCTAATTCTAAGATAGTCTGACAACGTATGGTCATCCGCTTTACTTCAAAACTATCGAAGCTAGAGAACCCACGCTAGTGTTTTTTGGGTGACACTAAAGCTGGCACATTTGTAAACCACACGGGGTGCGATCGAACTGCGATCCGCTGAACATGACATCCTCGGGGCAGCTTCTCAGTCGGTAAAAAACAGTCAGGGCAGTGACAGACACGCACTGGAAGCTTTGTGTTAACAAGTCTTTTGCTATGGAGTTGTTTCTTTTTACCCACGAGTGGCATCTACGCGGCTACACACCGAAGGTTATACCTGCATTGTATGCGCCCTACTGGATCGTATATACCCATGTCACTTACTATTGGCATGTATCTTCCCACGGCCCCTGAAAAAGGCAGTTTTTGAAGCAATGGACTTTGTTTATTGCAGCACCAACACTCCGTCACAGAATTATCGAGTCCCTAAATATACACTGTTTTCCTAATTTATATAGTCGGACCGGGAGATGTCAACCTTAGTACGTCATATGTTACCCCTTTATATGTGGTTGAACTTCACTTTGCCCTACGCGGCTCTATAAGCCTCTGAAAACCACCCTGAAATGTCGCACGTCGCAGTTCGTGGAGAACCGCTCTTTGCANACACGCTCCATGATTACTGTTTTGAAGAAAACCTCATGTCGCTAACATAACTGCATGATAGTTGAGATCATTTTCAGCCTTCCATTTATCAAAGGAATTTCTGAGATATATCGACTGTCCCGCAACGGTCGCGCTGAAAAGCTGGGCGCAAAACTTGCTCATTAGGCCTTTTATAGACAACAAAATGTGTCATCTGACTTCACATGAACAAAAATAGACTTGGTTTCCAACAGTTCAATGCCTCATACTAGAAAGCAGTATTGAAATCAGTCAATGCCCTATAAACAGAACGTTTCTCTGCACCCGTCCAAAAAAACTGTCATACCTGTAGTAGTGCTAAAAATGACGTTCTGGGGTCTCCATAATTCAGGCACAATACTTCACCCTATTTGGCTACCGAATTATGAGCTTGATGAGACTTGTGAGTGTCGAAGTTCACCAGTCCAGAAAATGCATGTGGTATGCCCTTCAAGTTTTTTGGGAAACTCATCCTAGTGCAAAGAAACAGTGCCGACAAATATATCCATTCTTCTTTTCTGAGTTAACATTTACTGACATCCAAAAAGCAGCTTCACAAGTAAGGTGGGTGTTATCCAGTCTATTTGTAAAAACTTTAATGTCCAATGTAGACGGTATAAATTGGGAACACAGACTACGACAGATGTAACCCTTTCATCTCCGAAACTTCCTCAGAGTTAGTTACTCGCTGCTTAGGTAAGCTGTCCAGAGTGGCTGCACCATGCTCACATACGCACGTCCTTTGGGGTAAACAAAAACTGGATCATCATTATCAATGAGGGCAATATACACGTAAAACGTACTGGTGCTCAACTGCCATACCCGGTTTCATCCGTATTAGATATATGAAATTTGTTATAGCTGACAAAGTATGCGGCATGGAATTACTTATCAGTTTCTGTGGTTTTGTATAGAAAACCTGGCACTGGTACGGAAAAAAACACCTAATCATATGTCCAAAGTATCGCGCACCATAGGTAAGAGTAAAAAGATAGAGTAGAATAACAGGAATGAACACTTTCGGTTTGGAAACCGGAAACTCCTTATCCGTGAAAAGTGAAAGAATTCGGATCATTAAACTGACGGGCTATATCATTTCTTGATGGAATGATGCTCTTCAGGTAAAGTGCTATATGCTCTTCAGGCAAAGTGCTATCACTGATGGAAGCTTCGCAGACAGAAGGAAAGTCGTTTTGGTTGGGAATATCTACCTTTTATTCATCTCACTTTCTAAAGCATCCGGGTTGCACATCACATTTGGCTGGAACGAAAACAATAGACCGGGTCCCTTTGGTATTCTGACACTTCAGGGTTTCGAAAGTTGGCCGACGCAAGTAGCCTTTCTGTGTACACCTCGTTCAATAGTTCTGATCAGTTACGCCCTAATATTACGTGCAAACGATTGTCCCTCTTGACTTTCCTAGTAAGGCGTGGATGGGTTTTCACAATTGAAAAAACTGATTAAATCAGTGCAGGCATAGAGGTGAGCACATACATTGACAGTACCAATACTACATGGTCTTTGTGCAGCACTTTCAGTTAAATACCAAAAATACTACAGAAGGTACTCCCGTTAAAACTTCCTCAATCTGCAGACGAGTGTCTGGACCCAAATACGTCTCGTCTGCTGTTCAAGAAAGAAACAAGACATGAAAATTCGGGGATTATACTGACTAGTGTATCCCAAGAAGAGAAGCTGGTCCGCGCTTTCATAAATATTGCTAAGAAGGTAACATAATCTTATTTCCAGCAGGGTCCCATTTAGGTTTTACGCCCAGTGAGTCCAAGTTACTCCTTAGTCAAACTAAGGAAAACATTCTGACATGGCATTTGCCTTAGCCAAGTCAAACTAGCCGCCTAATCCTAGCTAATAGTCTATTTCGATGCTTCTGTATTGTGCTTGCTTCAATGATGGGGCTAATAACTGTAATAATAACAATAATAAGGTAATAATAATAATGGTCCAGTCATAGTGCCTTCTCGGTGCCTAGCTGCCATGCCACCCGAAAAGAAGCATGAGGGAACAGAGAGTGCCACGTTGCTCAAGCCTGAGCAGGAGCAGTAGAGATATAGAAAACGGGTTGGAACCACGGACCATCCGGTCAGTAAGTTCGCAAATTAACAATAGAGCCATCTCGCGCTCCAATAGCCGTACACCAAAAAGACGCTGCTACACACTACTACAGTTTGCGGAGGAAATGGGATAGCTGCACATTTGAGGTTACCCTTCAGTCGTTTTCACTCGGCAAAGTGCTGCTTTAACAGAGGCATACGAAGTTATAAGGAATGACGTCAGAAATGAGGAATTACTCGGAATGACGCCGCTCTTTCTCAGCCTAGTACCCCATTTAAGTGGCCGGAAACAAAAGCGTTCCTCACAAAAGGCTGTATTCCAATAGACAGACCATTAACAACCGGGCGCTGCAGAAGGGATATCGACATGTTTTCATCAAAAACAATAAAAGTGGGATTCACTTAAACTGCACCATCTGTTGCTTGCGATTTCTTCTTTTTCTTTTTCCGTTTTTTCTTCTCCCCACCGCTGGGCGAACAGCTGTCGGAACCCTGACCCTGATTTATGGATGAAGGACTCAATAAGTGTGAATCTCCCTGAGGCTGATCGTTCAAAATGACACTAGTATCTGCGGTAGCTACATCCTCCGATACATGCAAGTTTTGGATTGAACCAGCAACTTCGTCTACAGGCTGTCCGAATGCCTGGTTTGGCTCTTTTGGAGTCTCCCTGGGTGTGGATTTCTTGGGCTTGATTTCCGCTGTGTTGGGGGCGGTAGATTTATCCTGGTCGATAGGTGCGGGGCGTTTAAACGGTATGAGCTCTTGATATGCTGACAAAAAAGAAAAAGGTTAGTACCTCCAAAGCTTTTGAAGGCTACCACTGATATTCAACTAGAAACACGACCCCACTGGGTAAAACTAGGAAAACTGACAGGAATCAATAAATATTCAATAGTCAGCGAGATCATTACAGCCTTTGCTCCAATGGTGACTTCCTTGGGTCGTTTGGTTAAGGTCCAATTAGATTTTTGCGATCATTGCATAATGCTCACAGTTGCAGGAAATGGGCATGGAAGCGAAGGAAAAGAGGAGTAATACGGTGAACGAGTCGCGGTTAATTGGACCACAATACATGGGAGTGAGAAACTCGAAAATAGTGTAGGACAAACATTCTAAGTTATTTTGTCATAACGCAAGGCGATCAGCTCTCACCGAAATTAACTTAGTTGCAGCCTTACGCCCAGATTTTCCGAATCAAAAACTAACTTGATTCTTTCACGAAAATGTGACGTGCAGATGGCGATGGTTGTTACTGGACAGAGATGGAACTTGGGAATCCAATAATGAAAAAAAACTTTCCGCCACGATTCTCTTTTCAGACTCTAGATTTGTTTTGTCAGGCCTGGTCGAAACAAGACGGTAACTCCTATTTTCACAATGGCTTTTTCCCGCGGTCCTGCTCTCCGAAATACTTCAGCATTACGTCCTATGGGTGTTTCGCTATTGCAAGTCCAAAACGATGTTAGTCCGGCGTTCCGGAAAAAAATTAATAACGGACACGCATCGGCAAAGCGAAAAATGACCCCCAAGTGTAAAAAGTTCCTCTAAATACCCGATGACGAAAGTATGGTAATCCTAAGTCTAGCTGACATAAAAAAGAACAAGTGCATAAAAAAGGAGCCGTTAATTTCTCAATGTTTGTTTTTGAAGACTACCAAGATTTGTAGCTCATTTAAGGAGAGATCCATGTCATACAATTGCAGTTCTTCCGTGAAGCCCCAGTATTTATTCATTTCGACAACAGACGTGTGTAGCATCGTGGAAAAATAGGATTGATTCGTCCGTTATGTGCCGGGCAAGCAAGCAATCCCTCTAAGTAAACCGCAACTGTTTTATGCGGTAAGCGGTTAAAAACCGTAACGCATAACAGTTAACCATAGAGCTAACGGGGAATTTTTTAGGTTCACAAGTGAGCAGTTGGTGTGTTGCTAGCAGAATAATCACAGCTTAGTCAGAAGATAGTAAGGAATGTCTCTCTTGTTCCTGTCGCAACGGAAAAATCCAACGCTACAAACAACAAACCAAAAGTAGCGTCAATCGAGGTTTGTTCAAATGACCGCAAAACCACCTCATGCCCATAGTGCATTTTCCATCCCGGGCCCAGCACGTGCTCACTACCGGTTGAGCTCAAATAGCTTTAGAAGTCTACAAAGTTGGTATTAGTGAATGCAGGTAACAAGCGCAGTAAATTTAACGACAATCGAACCAACTCAGTTCACGCTGGCTTTACTGGCTGACAATACGACAGCGAAAAGATGAGCTTCAAAGTCTTCCGTCCACCACAGGTTCCAGGCAACATCTATAAACCTGAGGTACGCTCGAGGGAAATTTAAGTGGACCAAAACAGACTGCTTCGTAATTGTTGCGTGAAGCTTACCATCAGGCATCCAAGGCTTGACCGCTTCGGGGACAATAATGCCCACATCGGTTTGATAGTTTTCCAATATTGCACAGATTACCCGAGTTGTCGCACACATTGTTGCGTTAAGCATATGCACATACTCCACCTGTTAACAATAAAGATGATGTTGAGTGACGTTCGTATAAAGTTGTGAACAGAAAAGGTGGAGGAGAAGCAAACAATATCCATCAAACTAAAAGCAAGTGTTAGTAAATAACCATTGCTGAGAACGTGGAAACTCAACTGGTTTACATGAACCTTGAGTCCATCGTGTACTGTGTTTTAGGTGTTTTAGGTGACAGTCTTGTTTGTTGCTTGGTCAGAGATGGAAATCAGTCAGTAATTGTTGAAAGGGCGATTCGAGTACTAGGTCGCTTGGTATAGATGGATAAGGAAGAGCGATTAGGCACTGCACGCTATCGGAAAGACTCAGAAACGTCACTAGATGCAAAACTTGGTGTGTGGAATCATAATTATTACAGACTGGAAACACGCACTGGCGCACTGCCCGGAGTACAACTAGTTACTCAACTAGGTACATCAATGAATCAGACCATTCTCTGAGAGGTTAACAAAGTCACAAATAAGAATGCAACAGGAAAACGATAAACTTGATTGACGGAATTTGTGGGTTTTTGTCTATATCACATTCGTCCGGACGGTCATCCTATTGTCCTGACACAAGTACTTTACATCTTGACCTCCCCTCGCATTCACCTCAACAAGGCATATAGTTTCTCAGATGCCAGGCAAGGGGTTTCAACTGCCGGAGGATATATACTGCTCGTGAGCTGTAATGAAAACAAGACACCCAGCCTCGTGCTTTCGTTTGTTATGGATTAACCGGAATGATCACACCAGCACCTAACGGATATCTAAAAAGCTAGGATGGTGTGGACGTGACTGAATTCAAACACAGCTATAAAATGTGCTTCGGAAGCGGAACAGGAGCAGCTGCCTACATTGTGTCCCCTGGCGAAAGCGATATCGTGTTTCTGGTCATGATGACCTTCTATCTACTCTGCTCAAGAATTGTGATGGGTTTCGTAGTCAGTACCTGTCTAGCACATTTGGGTCTGTCTGGAAGAATCAGATTGTCCTAGACAACTGGGGTGAGTCAGTAATAATGTTCAATTTCAAAAATGGTACTCTCAGTGAATGTAGTAACCACAGAAGTGTTACTTTGACTCCTGTTGTAACAATGCTTCCGATCTCACTCATTCTTCCACAGAAGGCGAATCCTTGGCCCATAAGCATCAAGCGGGATTTCGATCGTGTAGAGGCTGCGCCGACTACATTCTCACACTCCGTCAGGTGTTAGAGCGAGGTCAACCCACAATCTTGGTATTCCTTAACTAGAAGGGTTCATTCGATTCTGTCGATCTGTCTACCGATTGTCTACCGCGACGAGTGTTGTTCTGTGCCCCTTTCGAAATGGCGGAAACCGCGAGGTGTGCAGAGTATGACTTAGCAGAAGAGTGCGGAAGAGATTACGAAAAGTTTGGGTGCTGTTGGTGTTGTACGCCTTCCGGGATGGAGTTCCCGTTACCCCGCCTGTGCTTGGCTGGAGACCTTGGAAGAAGTGGCGACTGATCGGCATCTATGGCATTCGCGTTGCCATTTTCCTTCCGGATTGTGTGACTGAGTGCTTGGGGATGTAAGCAACTCAGAATGATCGCGACAGGCGATCACCAGGTCACCTCCGTCACCAACTCTTTTCTCTCCTCTTCATTCTAAGGCTTGAAATATAATTAGACAAACTTTGTGGCTGTACGGCAGTGGAGCTTCAGTGTTGACACTGATGTTACGGTCTCTGAAGACGGCGAAAGATGAGTCGTGAAGCACTGGAAGTAGTTAGACATAGTCACTGATGTGCATTTGGCCCTTTTCTCTCTCATTCTAAGGCTTGAAATATAATTAGACAAACTTTGTGGCTGTACGGCAGTGGAGCTTCAGTGTTGACACTGATGTTACGGTCTCTGAAGACGGCGAAAGATGAGTCGTGAAGCACTGGAAGTAGTTAGACATAGTCACTGATGTGCATTTGGCCGCCAGACAAGCAGTTAAGTTCTTAGCTATGGCTTTCAAAACGACTTATTAATTCCTAGCATAACATGACTTAGCAGTAATGATTTCCGCTCACGTTTCTGTTCATCTTCTTTGTTTGTCCGTACCGAATAGCAAGCCGACGGGACTGATAATCGGTACAATTGCTGCAAGACACAAGTTCCCGAAAGGCTCCAGAACCAGGGAACCAGGCTTCCAAATCGTATTTCATGGCTGCCGCATTGTTCAGCTCACCAGACACGATTGAAACTATTCGGTATGGTATTCCAAGTGCCTAGAACAAAAAAGATTGATTACACAGCGAGCTAGCACAAAAATCTTGAGTCGGAAACAGAACAAAATTTCACATACTGCGTTGAGTACCTGTCAACAGATACTTCCATATTGTTCGATTCTGTCCAGAGAGGGTCTGAGCTATTTAATTTGGAAGCAGAAACAAGTCTACGGAGCTAGCATGTGAACATAGTCTATGAAAATTCAGAATCGGTGGGTAATGTAGGGGAAAGTAACTGAAAAAATTCTAAACGAATGTTTACAATCTTCCAAACAGAACGGTAAGACTGATGTCTAATGGTACTCATCTAATCCCACGGCGCCCCAGGTGAGCGACATACCCTCGGCAGTCTGGGATGTCCAGCTTGCAGCATGGAATGTAAATATCAGAAAGTAACTGTTCATCGGTTGGTAAAATTCTAGAACCCCTCTTGTCATCAGTCCATCTATAACCATGCGGGTTTTGCCACGTCGAGATTAGATACCACTCCAGAGTTAGCAAATCACACTGGGACTCTAGAGCATCCATATATCCAGGATCAACTCCTGCTACATTACATTCCACGTCAAAGTAAGAGCGCGTTCGAGGTAGCCAAAAGTCACCTAATCTGACGAGCCTCCCCATCATTCAGAATCAACATCACCTGTTTCAAAGTATGCAAAATCAACACCACAGTAAGTTCCATACGTACTCCAATTCAGGCAGCTTCGAAGATGAATTCTACATACAGTTGCAGCCATTGTCAAACTTTTTTCAGGCATACTATTTTGGACTGGAAATCTCGTATGGGCCAATAGGTTAACTCAACCTAGTACTGGCAACTTCGGTTTTGGCAAGCACTACATCTCTCAATCCAACTTACACCACTAACACTTCCAGCGTCCAAAACGATACCTTATGTGGTACTCAAACGACCGACGAACAGCCAACCGGATCGACTACATACTTCCTCGATCGTGTTGGAAGTCTCTCCTAATACTCATGTCGGAAAGAGAAGAGGGTTAGACTAGATAGTGGTTGACATGGAATTTAAACTCTGCTTGAAAATGCGGCAACAGCGATGCCACCAAACGCCATAACATAGAAATGCTGGAGGGTACAGGGCACTGGCAAACGCAATCAAAGGCGATCTGACAGCCGTTGAAGTTAACTCGGCTACTTTTTGGATTAAAGTGAAAGTCAGTGGTATACAAAACGTTCACTCATTAAGCACATTCAAAGGTGCTGACACTGAAAGATAATATTAATGGTGAAGACCTCCAGGAACTCACCTGATGAAAAGCCTCGGCATTCGCGATCATCTGGTGGAACATCTCCCAGGAAAGGTTGTCATGGGGACTTGTTATACAGAATTGTTCCACCTGGAGTGCAACAAGCGAAGATGGAAATGTGTAGTCTCCAATTGGAAGCAAGACATCTGGTAACAGTTACGGTGAAGGAACATAGCGAAAATCAGGTCCTGCAGACTCATTCACTTATGTCATTACGTACCTTTTCAAACTGGTGGACGCGAAATATTCCGCGCGTGTCACGACCATGGCTTCCGACTTCCTGTCGGAAACAAGTGGAAATACCAGCGTATCGGATGGGGAGTTGATCGGTTGCAAGCCATTCGTCCCGATGGTAAGCTGCTATCGGTTGTTCAGAAGTTGCAATTAAATATTTTTCTTCCTCGTCTGTCGTCGAGGCCCCTTCCGATTTCTTCAACCCACCATCGCGCCTCCCGGTGACCTGCATCGGGAAGAGAATGACCGAGAGTTTTTAAAACGGGTGAAACAGCAACAGCGCAGAAGACGCTGAATTTATAAGATCTATAAAATAATCACACTACACACACATTACAAAGTACTCTGTACATTGTTCCTGGCTAACCCTAGACCAGCAAAGATGACCTACTGTATACACTTATTGCTTATTTCAACCAAAAAAGCTTTGCAGAAGCATCGAAATGTTCCTTCCAGAGGCTTTGATGTATAGTTATCCTTCGACATAGCTAGACAGCAACACATCAGTGGCAGCGAATTTCAACCACGGGCTTTTTGGACGCATGTCGCTAGATAAGTTACATACACTAAAGATAATCACAGTCCATCATCCCGGAGGGCACTCTGTACCGGTCATTTTGGCTGATGCCAATTGACACCAAGATAATCTCGAACAGTAATTTGGAACGTTATCTCTAATTTGGATTGCATGAAGCGAAAAATGACGTTCCGTTGCTTCATAAGAGATAAAAGGGTAGCTAAATGTCACGAAACAGCGTAAGGTCTAAAAAGACGTGAAAACTCCTCAGTAGTAATGGGCGGCTTTCTTCCCTTTGCTACCTTATTCTTTCATTCAGCAGAGGATTAGCGTGCCGGTATCATACTGTAGTGTAAGCCACTTCTGAACTTCTGTGGATATTAAACTTACACCTGAGACAAGGAATACAAAGTTCAATTTAGCATTGCGCGGAAGAATTAGACCCACAACAGCTGGCTGTTAACAGCATAAAAGTAAAAAATGGAATGAACTGAGAGCATCAGAGAATGAACGAGTGTTAGGTAAACAAGTGAACACCGTAGTACAACAGCTAGTAAGGAGCAGGAATGCTAACAATTTGTCTATCTGGAATGTGTGACATGCCTCGAAACTCATGGGGTTTTTGTGTCCAANATGTGTGACAGCCTCGAAACTCATGGGGTTTTTGTGTCCAACCATATAGCTCAACACAACTTCACCTGACGAGTGCTTACCAAGAAATGGATGCAACTTTAGGCCTTGGATCAGCAAGGTGTTTGCTCTCTGCTTATGTCGACAAACTTTCACCCAATAACTGTCCATCTGTAGTAGAGTTTGGTCAGATCGTCAAACGATCGTATTTGGAAGAGTAGCACGGAAATACGTGGAATACACTCACTTCTAAACTATTTTTGTTTCAACAAGAGACAACTGAATCTAATCTGAACCTCTCGTTCATGATACTCTTCAACCGAATGTGTTGCATAAAGACTGTCTCATGCACCGCGTAACACCAGGTCACTTTGGAACAGTTCAAAGCGTATCGAACTCAGCCTCTGTCATATTTAGAACATGCAAAGGGCGGTGATTCGCAAAATAATTGAGAAATGTTTCGGAAAGTTTGTCACAACTTATTTGCCTACGCAAACAAACAAGTATTAGCAAGCTATGGGTCTTAAACCAGGTTTGTCGATGGAATGTTAAAACCAGGTAACTGAAAAACAGCAGGTAGTGAGGATTCACTTCACTGACACCATGCGAATTGTCTACCAACAACACAATTCTCAATATCTTTGTTACCTATTGCCCAAGATTAACAGCTGCACAACCTTTTGAATGGACAGCATGCCAAATAAATTACTGGTACGCTCGGTCAATTCTGAGGAATTTAACAACTGTGTTTTCTATAGAGAAGAATGCCGGTAGCTCAGGTAGCGTAGATGGTCGTTGGCTTGTTCGCTGAGCTGGGCAATTTGGTTGCAAACGTTTCATCACCAATCGAGGTGACATCATCGGTGCGTAGTTGTGCGTAACGTGGTTGCGCTACGCACAACTACGCACTGATGATGTCACATCGATTGGTGATGAAACGTTTGCAACCAAATTGCCCAGCTCAGCGAACAAGCCAACGACCATTAACAGCTGTGTCTAAAGCAGTGATTGTACCGATCGTGACTGCATCAACGTCGGAGAAGCCAGAAGATAAAGGGTGGGATCAGTAAATAGCACTGCCGGCGATTTCACTGCAATACTGCTCAGGTAAACCCTGGGTGGCATTCACAAATGGCTGCTTTTTCGTCCAGTTGCCGGCCAGTTTGACTCCCCAAGGAAAAACATCAGTACCTCCACCCTCTTTCTTTGGTAACCGAATCCTATATGGATTCCAGCAAGAAGTTGAATTCTGTCACGTGATTTACGTATTTGGATTAACCTTAGGCAAGTGAGTGCAGCCTTCACCTGTTTCTCCAATGGAACCAGTACCTCTATACTAAAGGAGCCAGTGATGGTGCTTTCCCCGATGGCTGGATTAGAAAAGGTCGACCCTAAAACTCGCACACTCTGACAACCCAACACTTTAAATCTGAATTGAGTGATGAGCAGCTGGACTGTACACTGGGTAAGGCTGAATCGAACGACAGGAGTGAACAGGCAGAATACGGAATTCTGAGAAGCCAGAGGTTTGATAATATTTTACACTTAAAACTAAGGCTGGTGTATTTTTTGGTGCCCGGGGTTTTCGTTCACGTCGTTGCCCCCACTAAGTTTGATCTGCGGTGATACGTTTCACGGGTTTTGTCATGTTGTTGGTTAGTGGCTGCGGAACAGTCAGATCGTCACCATTCAGGCGGGGTTGGGATTCAGTTAAGTCTACCGTTCGAACTGAATCGGTGTGCAAACGAGTGTAGTTTGAAAATTTCGCCCAACTGGGGTTCAAGTGGAACATGAAGTTGACGGAAACTCGGAGACTGCCTGCGCCTGATGAGCCCCAAAAGTTTGATCTGCGGTGATACGTTTCACGGGTTTTGTCATGTTGTTGGTTAGTGGCTGCGGAACAGTCAGATCGTCACCATTCAGGCGGGGTTGGGATTCAGTTAAGTCTACCGTTCGAACTGAATCGGTGTGCAAACGAGTGTAGTTTGAAAATTTCGCCCAACTGGGGTTCAAGTGGAACATGAAGTTGACGGAAACTCGGAGACTGCGCCTACCTGATGAGCCCCAAGAAGGGCGAAACCGGTTGTGGGCTGTCGAAGAGTTTTCAGCAACCTTGTGAGTAGTTTCCTTTATGAAAATGATCTAAAACTATTAGTCGACCTTCTACCCACCCTTCGGACCGCTTGTTCCGATTGTTCCTGTGGGTTGGTGAGCTAGATTCAGATGGAAATGTGCGGAAGCCCTGCTGATTCAGTGCTCCCTGGAGGGACCCAAGTAGCCCTGAGAACATCGGTGGCTAAACTTGGAGTATTACCAATATCGGAACATAAATCCGATGGATCCCGTGTAGACGTTGTGTAAGCAAGACAGCAACATAGTGTATAAAAAATGGTCTGCCCTATAGCTTTTAGCAAAATCCGAATGGGCGATATCTAGATTTGAACTGGAACATGCGGATAGCTGGGAAAAACATACCTTGTATAGTTCCTCGTCGAATTGACTGAGCTGTGCAACTGCCTGCATAACATCTTTGCACATGAAGAATGGTGTGTACAGTGGAGTGAACCCACGCTCATGTAGCATCTTTAGGGCTAACTGTATGACGGCCTGCTCCAGAAACACTAGAGGCCCCTGCAAGGCAAAGGTATCGTTTGCACTATGAAGCTTGACGTTTGGACAGCAAAGGATATCTTGCACAAAACCAGACGTAGCTACATTGACCTCAAAAGTGGAGCAAAAATTGACGCCATACTTAGTGACAATGAGTCCAAAAAATTTGGAGTTGCTTGGAAACGGGTGAGAAGTCGAAGTTTTAGAAGATACTTGGAATACAGTCGATTGAGTTACGACGGGTCACTAATAAACTATTTTTCCAAAACAATAAACAACCCGTACAGAGAAAACTACGAAACTAATGACAACTACATGGAGGATACGGCTGTATCGCTTCAGCTAGATATTCCTTCGCAAAACAACTGTTTAGAAGTGGAAAACTCAGTGCAAAGCAAGTGGTGCTGAGGGACCACTGCTCTTAAAACCAACACAACGATTTTCAAAAACCCCGCCCTGAAACAGTCACCATCACCATTTCGTTCAGCTACACTGTTTTTTAGTTTGGAGTGCTCCAGATAATGCTGTGAAAAATGTGTGTAACCGGCCACAGTGTAAGCACATTTGTACGGTTAAGCGAACTCGAAATGCATATACAGACTGCAAAGTTGTTCAGGGGGGGGGTTCGGTTAAGGGTCTCTCGTTTATTGATCCATAAAATGTCAAACTTTGTGCAGGTTCGAGGTTCAACAGAAGCAATAATTCCCCACTACCTTATTATAAGGGTCAGTCGAGCATTACTGTGTCCCTATTATTTGGTTGCCTCCTGTCGCCATGCTTCCACCAAGGTCATATGAGTACCTAAACAAAACCGTCACGTAGACTGGAACTTACTCCGGTATAACGGTTTGTATGTCTCCGTGAACTATTGAGCGCTATGCTGGGGATTATCGCTGCGACACGCAGTCTCTCATACGAGGTTGGTCAATAGTCGGAAGTCCGACCAACAAAGTCTCCTGCCCCACCAGTTTGGGGATCGGAACACGTGTAAACTTGTCATATAAAAACGGTGATTCACTGGCATTTCTCACCAAACACCGCTATCTTGCGGCCAGGCTGATAAGGCAAAGGATTTCGCTGAGGACTCTAACTGTCCTTCCGTTCATGTCTTGGCGCCCTGAGAGTATCCCAGGTCACGTACAACCACGATACTTAGTGCTTGAATCTCATAGAAATCTTTCTGAGCATAATCTGGACTGACGAACTGTCAGAGACCAAGTTAAACTTAGCGCACAGACCGTACAAAATCGAAAAAATCGTTCAGCTGCAGTACCCTTCTGGTGCCTGGCTGCCATGCCACATGGAGGCACGAGGGCTGGGATACTGCCAGGTTACCCAAGCCTAGACAGAGGAAGTCGATAGGTAGACTTCGGGTTCGAACCACGGACCTTCTGGTCAGTAAATCTGATCTGCGCTAACTTAGTCCATCTCGCCCCCAAGTACAGACGGTACAGATCGTAAGGCCTGTTTAACACGGAAGGCTAAGGAAATGGAACTGAATTTTGACCCTGGATGGTGAGCCTGAAGCCCCCTACGTTTTCGGAGGTTTATGACTGCAAATCTTTCAAGCGCCAGCGAACGCTCCTGGTCCGGATAACCTCCCATCGGCATTGTTCATGGATGAGAGCGAAGTCTCCACACACCGCCAGGACCTAGGTCAACGCTTCCAAGGTGGATTTGACTCAGAGAATTAGTTTTTTTCTATGTAACACGAGTGCTCAGCAAACATTACCCCAGAAGCACTTGAATATAATACATTCTTCGTATTCTCAGGATCGCAGGCGAGTGACTATACGCGGAGCTCTCCAAAAGCTTCCGTGGCAACAGACAAGGATGCCCACTCCCTCCAATTCTATCAGACACCGTAACCGACGAAACGCCAAGACGAATTCCGGAGAGTCTCCAAAACCTTGGTGTTCAAATAGCTGTCGATCTGCAGTAAGCAGAGGACATCTTCGAAGAGGAGAAAAAGGCGCAGGAAGTTTCAGATAAACTAACCGTCATTCCGTCCTTCGGTACGTGAACTGCATCCACAAAGTATAAGATCATGTCCCTGGATATACAGTCACTGTACGCTGCACTATTCAGGTAGAGGGGGTGGAGGTGGAGGTACTCAAAGTTGTGGAGCATTTTACGTACCTGGAAGTTGAATTAACTCCGACTGAGTGTAACGGATAAAGTCAATGCACAAATCTCAAAGTCTCGTGTCGAGTGTGCTCATTTGAGACATTTATGGTGGCGTGTATCAGGTGCTGGCGTGTGTATCAGGATAACGTACAGGTTGTTTTGTTGTATGTTTGTGAGAAACAGCCTCTGCGGGCAGCCGGAATGAGACATCTTCAGGTCTTTAATAAGCGTTGTCTCAAAACCATAGCACGTGCGGGCTGGTGTTGGTGAATCCACGACGAGGCAATTAGAAAAGGAGTGTTGGGTTGTGCAACGTGGGCTTGTCCGATGGTCAGCCCATGTAGTGCGCTTACCGAACTGACGTTTGCCCAAAAGTGCTGTTTTCCGTGCCCAATTCAAATCAGCGTAAACAGAGTGATGGTCAACCATTAACCGGGTAGAGGGAAACGAAATCAACTGAGAGGAATTTGGGTACTGTCGGTGAGACCCGCCCACCAGGATGGGGTCCACATGACCTTTGTTGTATCTGGTTGGACACGCTGCAAGCTATGGATGGTAATCAGTCTCAATCATTTCTGTCTAGACTGCCTGAATGAGTGTCTGGAGGTGTGGGCACCTCGGAATGACTGTGGCAGGATAGCATGAAGTCTCTTCCTGATCCACTGTTACTCTTTCATCCAAAATAAAGCTCTCAAGTGTATTGTGTTTGTACGGAAGCGGCGCATCAGTGTGGATAATGGTGTTCATATGCCAGTGCCTCAGTCTTCCCGAAGTTGCTCCGGGCACTCCAGAACAAATGGTGTCTATGGTCGAGCTATCCTTTGTGAACAACAAAGTAATCCATACTGTGGCGCCGAATACAGCCGGGCTCAAAGTTCGCGTGAAAAAGTCCAATTCTAAACAGTGTATGAATGCATGGTACAGGTGGAGTCAAGTCTGAGGTGACGAATCATCATCACGAGGACTAATAGTGTCATGCAAGATACCGGTACATAGTACCACCTGGAAGCCTCAGTAGATGGATGGCTTTACGACAAAGTCAACCTCACCTGTTGCTGAAGAAACACTTAGTGTAAACGGATTATATTACAGTAAAGCGATCGTGGATCACAACCACCGACCGACCGCAACTGTGAAGAAAACATGCGACATCCATAAAAAGAGATACCTTGAGGAAATAGCCACGACCACCAGCAACCGAGGCACCACGTTCGCCTTCGAAACCATCAACCATAACGACCAGGTCCACATGAGAGTACTGTTTCCGGAAGTCACTGTTCCCAAATGTGCGGATTACAAGATTATCGTCCTATGATGGATGACAAAAGACGGAGAAAAACAATCAAGCAAATCGGTGTCAAACTTGAGCAGAAGTGAATGGCTAAGGAAAAAAAGTTGCACAAAAAATTACCTCAAAATTAAGAATATTTCCGACATATCCCAAGTGGAAGTGCAGATTATATGGAAATAGTAGCTTTTTTATTGATCAGAATAGCCTCGATCGGGGATGCCTGGGGTTTGGATAACATGCATGATTACGTTTCACGTAATCAACCTAGGTTCTACATGGGACATACTGGACAATAACTGCACAGTAACTGCAACTAAAGTAAGTACATTCATGATTATTAGGGAGCAAATTCATTTGCGGCAAACTGGCTTAATTAGGCAAACCAAAAGTAAAGGTTTTTTGGTGGCGGAGAAGTACCGATAACGGAACTTTCCTACCCTTCACCTGTAGTGACATTCGAATTGGGGATACCATATCCTTTGGGGCAACAAGTAAGTTTGATGTTGACCCATTATGTACAATCCTCCGGCACCTAGATTTACTACAACTCAGTTCTGACTACGAACGTCATTCATAGTGGAACACCCTTATGCACTAAAGGTTAGGGCCTGCCAAGTCCACTATGGGTAGCGCTGACTAAGCGATGAAGTGCTTTGACGGTTGTTACAGTTGCACTTCGAAGACCGTAGCTTCATTGGACAAGTGCAATTGCATACATGAGACAGTCGTCTATCGGTGCTAGAAGATGATCATGTGTCGTTATGAAACCCCCATCTGGGAGTATGACACTAAACAACGACACTGAGATTCTTGGTAAAAACTTTCATAAATCGTTCTCGAGTAAACATCACATATATAACGGAAAAGGAGCACACGAGACATAACCCCTCGCTAAATCATTCAGCTGTAGAACCCTTTCGGTACCTTGCTGCCATGCCAAAAGAAAGAGACGCGAGGGCTGGGATACCACCAGGTTTCCCAAGCCTAGATAGGAGCAGTCAGGATGCCGAAGTTGGGTTCGAACCACCTCCCGATCCGTAAACTGGTGGCTTAAACGGTGAGCTGTCTCAAGAAGGAGAATCACCTATTTCAAGAATAGAGCGAATGTTATCGTGGCGCGACGGTTTGTGTGCCTACGCGACCCACTGAGCCTCATACTGGAGGGTGTCCGTGCGAAACTCAGAGGCTCTCATAAAAGGTTGGTCAATGGTCCGCCGTCCGACCAACAGTCTCCTAGCCCTCCCGATTGGGAACTGGAACATATGTGGCGACTTGTTCGTTGAAAATGGTAACGCACTTGCGTTTCCGAACAAACGCACTGGCCTTCCGATCAGGCTCGTGAGCGAAACGCTTTGGCCGAGGATCCTAATCGTCTTCCTGTCCAGGTCTGACAGCCCTGGCAGTAAACCACCCTACGCACAACCACCATACTTATACATCACCCTAAAGTTTGAGAACGAAGGAGAAGCACAAGACATGTTGAATAAACTGACTGAAATTATACTATCTTTCGGTATGCATCTTGAACCTCCAAGGTGCAAAGTCATGCCTCAGAACGCGCAGTCTCTGAACATACTCCTTACAATTCAACCAGAAGCACTGTAGGTTGTGGAGAAGTTTACATACTTCGGTAGGTGTATAAGCTCTGACGGAAGTGTTTCTGATGAAATCAGGGGGGAATTTCCAAGGTCCGAATCATGGTAATTCGCGTCATTTGTTGCAAATAAAGGGAGCTCAAAGGTCGAGTGTACCAGAATACACCAAGCGCCGTATTATTGTGTGGTTGCGAGATATGGCCTGTGTGGACAGATGATGTAAGGCGTCTGCAGGTCTTTGACCACCCATGCATCAGAGGCGTTGTTTCGTCAGGAAATCCATGAGGTAATAACAAAACGAGTCTTGGGTTGTGCAGCAGGTACTTCGATCGCGGGAAACATCCAACACCATCACCTGCGGTTGCTTGAGCATGTGCGACAAATGCATAAACACTGTCTACCTAGTCGTGTTGTTCTTCATACCTCCTTCGGAATAGTGCGAACCGCAAGGTGGACAACGTATGACTTGACAAATGATGGTGTTCCCGTGACCCATCTTGCGTTTAACTGAAGATATTGTAAGAAATGGCGGTACATCGATATGTGTGACGTTAGTACTGTGAGTATCTTGCTAGATTCCGTGGAAACGAGTCAAGAGAAATCAAACAATGACTTGGCAGAGAAGCATGAAAGCCATAGTCCCGGATACGGGACACATCGAGTGTTAGAGATATTGTCAGACATGGCCCAGTCGCGCCATCTATGGCGCTGGTGCATCCAAGCGATTGCATTAAATTCAAAGCCCCCTCCCAATCTCCCCAACTGAAAGTTCACTGACAACACTGTATTTGCGCGTGAATTATATCTACTACCGCCTCCAACGCGCAGCTACCTACCCCATCTCCCTATGTCATCATAGAACGAAATTGCGGCAGCTAAAACCATTGTGTGGCAAGTACGCGGTTCTTATACATGACGATGATGCTGATCTTCACCGGGTGGCTGATCGAGCTTTGAATATAATTGATTATTGTGGTTGTGCGTCAGTGAAGCATCAGTGTCAGCAGTGATGTTGGTGATGACGATGACGTGTCTAGTTGAAAACGCTGCAAGATATGGCTGGTAATCAATCTCAATGGTGTTCATGTTGTCAGTTTCCACCCAGATTGTCCGAATGAGTGACTGGAGGTGTGGACACCTCGGAATGATTGTGTTAGGCCGGCATTAAGTCACTTCGCCAAACACTTTTATTCTTCTCTTCGCAATAAGGCTCCCAAATAACTTATGGTTGTACAACAGCGAATAACATGTGTTCGAACACCAACGCTGTGGTTTTAATAATAATAATAATAATAATAGTAAACTCTGAGAATACAGGGAACATATTGTATTTATAGACTACCGGGGTACTCTTGGTCAACAGAGTAAAGAATACCAAGGAATACCAAGATTGTGGGTCAATTATAAATGTACTGTTCGGGCACCTGATTAAGTGTTAAGATCTACAACGAAATCACTATCAGGTCGAAATTCCGGCTGCTGCTCATGATTTTGTACCTCGTGGATCAACGTTATACGATTAATAGGTGACATTAACAGTCTTGTTATGACGGGAGACAAGCTGATTCCCTGTGAACGTCACAATCACAATCGGACCTTTCTTGAAAATGACAATTTACTCATTGACTGGGGGAGCCTCCTTGTCCAAAACAGAGGCAAATTAGATGGGCTAATGCTGAGTGAGAACTTTGCCCCGACCTTTGAACAATTGGGTTAGGATTCCATTCCGACTGAGGACTCAGTTGCGCTTGCCAGATGCGTTATGACAAACGTCCGAGACCGAGAGTTGTTCTGAGAACCTTGTTGATCTGCAATACGCAGACGACGTTGTTATCATTCATGAAGAACAGCAGGAAGCGCAAGTGTTACTTGAAAAGCTGAAAAATGTCATCCAGTCTTTTCGAAGTGCTTCGCGCTCACGAAGTGCAAATCCCTGCTGCAGGACGCAGTTTTTGAACATGCCCCTAATAGTTCAGAGTGACACTGGAAGTTGTGGAAAACCATACGTATCTCCGAAGTTGCATTAGTTCTGACGGCAATGTGGTAGACGAAGTCAACGCACGAATCCCAAAGACCCGAATTGCGATCGCCAATTTGCTCCACTTTTGGTGTTAAAAGAGCGTGTCGCTGGGTCTCACGACACGTACATTTCAGACTACAGTGTGAGCTGTATTGTTGCACGGCTGCCGAAATTGACCGGAAGATAGGAGACATCTTCACATCTTTGACCATCGATGCCACATGATTATAGCTTAAGTCGGCTGGAATCAAAGAAGTGGAAATGAGTTGACCAGGAGACGTGTTGTTGATGAGCCAGAAGATACCTCACGCAAAAAATGCATCCGACACTGGAAATTAAGGTGATTGGGCCATGCCGAGTTACCATCTGCCGACAACACTGCTGTTTTCCGTACCTAAGTCGGAGTGGCGGAAACCTAAAGGCGAACAGAAATTGACATAACAGAGGGGAATCATATTATCAAAAGCTTAGATGCTGTTGATGCTGCTTGTTCACCAGTACGGGCTCTATGTGACCTTCACTGTGCTTGACTGGAGACACGACATGGTTATTGATCGACGTCAATGGCGTTCATGCCGTCGGTTTTTATCCAAATTACCCGACCGTGTTAGATGTACAGGCACCTCGGATATCTGTGGTACGCTAAGCCTTGGTCCCCTATCTGTCCGAATTTTCCTTTTCGTTATATTTATCCAAGTAAAATAACATGGTTCTAAGGCGCTGATCCAGTGTTGCCATCAATAACGATGATGACATATAATGTGCGGTGTAATTCCAATTCTAATGTAGGCCAAGAATTCGACCGGAAGGCATCAAAGTGACACAGGAAGTACTGTTTGAAGTGCTCAACCAACGAAAGGGTAGTATTTCAAGTAAGTTTGGGCTCATCCACATGGAATATACTGTAACTTGTGGTATGTATTAACTGGGATACCCTGAGCGCTCAATAAACTTCTCACCTACTTGCCGAATGACCTGTATCCACTGGGCTTCTCGGTCAAATTACACTTAACATCGGACAAACCGCCGAGCTACGTCATATTAGGCGCTGGTGGGAACATTTTCCCGCGATTCGGAGAATGCCATCAATTTATTGATACCCAGTGCCTCAGCAAAGCTCGCTGTACTGTGACACTGACGAAATCTCCACCAATGTGCGAAAATGTGGATATCGCGCTCCAGTGTACACAGACATCCAACGGTGGGTCAGTTGGAAGCCCAAATGTGTCTGACTTCAATGACTCTGAAACTCCAAACTGTTATGCAAGGTGCCCAATTTATTTTATCAGCCATAAACCGCGTACCACAAGAACCCTGGTTCCAGCTGCTACAGTTTCGACTACCAAAAAACGGGACAGCGTGGGACATACAGCCAAGCTTCGGAGGTGATGTAACATCCGGTTAGTTCGGAAACTGGGTAGTTACACACTGAAGGCGATATCTTTGATGCATGAGCGCCATTGACTACGCGATTGGGCCATTTCTGCCAATGGCCTTAACCATTGATGGGTTGAGTCCCGGGGTCCTGATCTAGGGAGGCGGCAGGTGCCGACCCGACCAAGTTTATTGGTTCAAGGGGAGTATCTTGTAAAGCCAAATTTGTTTGCAAATGAGTGTATTTCGCCAAGTCCGTGCGATTTGGTTTCAAGTAGGAAGCGTTCAGCTGTAGCACCCTTCTGGTGCCTAGCTGCCATGCCATCCGAAGGAAGCACGAGGGCTGGGATATTGCCAGGTTGCCCAAGCTTAGACAGGGGAAGTCGAGAGGCAGAGGTCGAGGTCGAACCACGAACCTTCCGCTCAGTAAATTTGCGCTCTAACCACTTGGGCCATGTCGTTTCAAGTAGAGTATAAGGTTGACGGGAACTCGGGGACCGCGCCTATCCGATGAGCCCCAAGAAGGGCGAAACAGGTCGAGGATTGTCGAAGAATTTTCAGCAACCATACGAATAGTGTATTACATCTTTATTGGTTAGCGTTTTCATAATCCGTCGCCAGGTCATACAGTGTCCACCTCTCGGTCGCTTTCACTCAGCACAGGGCTGGGCAAAATGAGCTCTGCGAGGCAGACAGTCTTTTGGAATGCGGAGTACATGTCCTAACCAGCGTAACTTATGAAGCGTGAGTAATTCATCCATTGCGGGAGAGTTCCTCCTTCCTAAGATAATCTGGCGTACCTCCGAATTGCTAACCCGATATTCCCACCAGACCCGACCAACGATCGGGAGACACCCTCTGTGTGTAGGGGCCACGTTTTTGACCCATGAAGCAATATGGATCACACTACCGTAGTGTAAACTCTACCCCTGATAGATAAACTTACATCAAGTCGGTGCCATAGGTGTCGGAGGTTGACAAAATCTACCCTGGCCTTTCCTATTCCGGGAATGATCTCATCTCCAGGAAGTTCACCGGAACCTACAGAGCTGCCCAGGTAAACAAATTTATCTACCACGTCGATTTGCTTGCATGCAAAAAGCACGAGGTGTGTGCTTGATCCCACCAAGTCTTGTAGCAGTATTTTACGCTTAGCAGGTGTGAGGCGCATGCCAAAATTTAGGTTATGCAAAACCGCCTGCATTTTGGAAGTATCTGAACCGAGGAGACCAATGCCGTCTGTGATCGAAAGCCACGGGAGCATTTTGACTGCCTTGGTTTCAGAGGCAGACAGAGACATTTTACGGAGAGTATCAATAACAAAGTTGAAGAGGAAAGGTGAGATGGGACAGTCTTGTCTTATACAACTGGACGTGGTGAACTCAGACGAAAGCTTCCCATATACTCATATGCGTCCACAGGAGTTCGCACACAGTGACCTTATAAAGGATATCGATTTGGAAGAGATACCTTTGATCTCCACACAGTCAAAGTTTTTGGTGATCGGTGGAAGCAAAATCAGATTTAAAATTTTAAAAAAATGGCTAATGTGGGACATCTGAAGGAGAATTCGTCTCAAGCTAGAGATACGGTCGATGCATCCTCGACCAAGAAGAAACCCAGCTTGAGTCTCACAAATCCCTCTCCCACGGTGATGCGATGTGTACATCTCTTAAGTAGCCTCGAAAAAAAGAACAGCGACTATGTGACCAGAATCCATAAAAGTTTTTAAAAATAAGTGACAGTCAAAGATTGATTCACTATGTCGGTAGCTGATGGCGATGTGATTTGGTTAGTGACTGGCCCGCTGCTGACAGGTGCTATGTGACCACCCATCACCATTGAGAGCAACACATCAGTAGTAAGAATAGCCTTTACTCGATTATGCGACACCTTACTGTAAACGTACTGCAGTTGCTTACTGTCTGCCACGCTGCGAAGGTATCGACGATCAAAAGTCTGAAGTTCTACAACCACAGAACGACTGTTCTCAAAATTGCCTTGGACACAGGGCTCTTCCACTCCAGCTGAATTCGCCTATGCTATCACAAGTGACGTATGCCCCCCCCCACCCAAAACCATCGGTCAACGAGACTGCAGCAGCTACAACCACTGTACGACGAGTACGCAATTATTACAGCTAACAATGATTATGGTGGTCACAAATATTGCTAGCGCCTTAGTGTTGAGTTCACTGACCCACTCTGTCACAGCAGAATCGCGACTTACACATCTTCCCAGACAAGTAAACCACTAAACAAACAAATTCGTCTGTTTGACGCTTCGAAGAAGGGAAATTCCACGATAACACTATGCACCCTGCAGATGCAAAATGCAAGGCAAAGCAAACAGCTACTTCCGAAACTCTATTTGGGGTAGATTACGGACTGACGACTGTCAAATAACAGGACGATGTCATTCATACAGCCTAAGTCTATCACTGTTTCCCAGAATTGGGAGTTTGGCGCCAACATTCTTGTTCCCTTGAAATATCCCTTCTTTGATGATACGAATAACAAAACTGGGCAGAAAGACGGATATAGAAGGTAGTCTTAGTGAACAGCTATGGTTGTGGGAAGTTTCGGACGGCTTGAAGTAAACCCCTATACAACCAGAAGTGCGGGAGTAGAACGCACGGAGAATATTTAGACTTCGAGAGAATTCCTCCAAGGTCAGAGGTATGCAGAGCAGCTGACCTAAGGGGTCGATGGCTATTTTAAAGTTGAGAAAGACCGCCATTCTTTGCCGAAGTATGGCACTGCCCAAGTATTTGACGTGGCGTGACGAATGCATTCCCTGTTTCTACTCTTACTTGGTTGTCTCGCATTTACGCCTCACATATAGGGGGTAGACATCGCTGGCTTAACGAAGAACGTGGACGTGTTGCCACGGATATACGGCTTGTGTTTCCGTTATTGAAACAGCAGTGGTGAACTGCTCCGAATAAAGATGTGGTGACTTATTTGTTTCAGTGGTCTGTAATTCTATTACGTTTCCAAATAGGTTCACAGAAACAATGTAAGGCGGAATACAAAGACCTATCAACGTCTTCATGTAGCGCTGGAAGACTCTCACGATGGTCCGGAAACCCAATAGGACTTAAACGCAGGAAGATATTGGCACTTCAGGGATCTGAATTTAAAAAGATACGACCCGAGTTAAGCGCACCCTATGAAAGGTAATTAGAAGGGTCTGATAGACTAATAGACTGGCTTATGGGTGAAGGGAAAACCCATAGCCAGAAGCCTGCTGTAAGAATGAGCTGGTTGAAAACAGGAAACGACAAGTGAAATAAGGGAGGACATGTAGTATTACAAGGAATACTTCGTCTGGCAATATAAGCGCTGGCTTTCACTACACAAGATTTCCAATACTTCTAGCTGACTCACTAACAGACTAGCTCCTGGGAAGACATTTTTATCATCTAAAACAGCTTCTGTGCATTCCTAACTGTACGAACCTCTTCCGTTTCCGCTTCCACTTCTTGTAGCTGACGTCCAGCGAACCGCCTGATTGTGCCGAGATTGATGGGCTGGTGTCCTACATAACGGGTGACAGTGAATGCCCTGAACTTCAGCGGTTTCCGCCTGCACGCCCAATAACTCCACCAGAAGAGTTTCAGTGTGGTGCATAGATATGGTTTTCGCTCCTGGTTACCAGTCACTTGCTACGCAGTAAACGGGTCTTCACAATTATTTCAAACGACGGGTGAAGAAGCGCTTCTACTACCAGATGAAGGCTGGTTCCCTAGGTTTACCAGGGAAATTCTATGAAAACCCACACCGGAAGGGAGCAGGATCTGAGTCGTATGCACTACCGAACGATCAGCATTCAAGAAACGGGCCTCGTGATCAACAGCTTAGCAGCAGCACTGGTGCCCACGATGCCCACACCATTTGAAACCAGTACCACTGAAGAACAACTGATGGTTGATACTGGATTCTACGACAATCTGAAGTGACTTTTATCGACGGGTTAATTCGCAACAACAAACAACAGATTCTACGAAGAACGTCTTCAGCTTGAGCACAAGTACAAACGGTTCGAGAAGTGATACTTGATACTCACTTCGTTATCGCTGACAGGAACCTCGGGATGAAGCAAATTTGCCACCTCATAAAGTAATCCATTGCGAGTACGCTCAAGCATCACAACATACTCGTTGTTCACTTTGATTTCATCGTCGATGAAGGCGGATAGTCTCTTGAGGTCATCAATGGATAGAGGCTAGAAACGATAAATGAGAAAGCTCAGCCATACATAAATGTTCTCATCCGTAACCGACTCTGGGTCAGTTGACAGCCGATCGTATAGTCCTGGCGGAGATGCATTTTGCGTATCTTTTAGCTGCACAAGTGAACTTTTAACTTGAGTCGTACCTTGTACTTTTTGGCTATCGCTTTGCTACACAGGTTTTTAACTTTATTCAGCGTGTCGCCCCGGAATCGGGCTGCAAGGCTATCAGAAATCAACACTATGCACACCTTTGCGCCACTTTTCATCAGCTTCAACGACTCTGTTAACACGATCAACACCTCGGAAACGTTTTCGTTCATTATCTCTTATGCGCTCAGGGTCGCCTCCCTTTTCCAAACGGAACAAATCAATGTCCAGGACCATGGATAACAGTGAGGAGCCACCGTTTGGCGCGAGTGCACAAACAAGTGAGTCACGCTTACTGAACGCTCATTGGTGCAGACGTCTGTAAAGGGTATCGACGGTTTGCCACACAGGATCGAGGCTTTCGCCCAAGCTTCCCAGATGGAAGTTGTTCTTGAAGTTCAACGGCTTTACTCGACCTGATGTATATTCACACATCTATTAAGAAATACACCCCATGGATCAATCATTCTGAACATATATCTATTGAATTGGGGAAGAAGATGTTATGGTGGATTCCCCTCCAAACTTATGCGTTCGTTGTGTTCTCATTACTCACTCTACCTTTCCACATTACCTGTATCATTTGCTTATCATTTAATATATCTGGAGGTGAAGTTAGCAGGTCGACGTCTTGATGGTCTCCATCTATAACGCGAGTGCGAGCACAGCTACCCCACAGAGTCGCACTTATTGGTCAGGCAGACCTAGAACATGGCTATTGTACCTGGAATCTTTGTCCCCCTCGGAGTGATCAGTCTCCCGATCATTAGTATCTCCCGGTGAGTTCACTGCCAAAGGCAGTCACAGAAGTCACTCCCTCTCCAGAGAACTATCTGTGTGACACATCGTACAATTTTCTTGGAGTCACTTCCCCAGAGACAAGCATTCCTGATTGTGCCATATGAATAACATGCGGCTCAGCGCCTAGAAGCTGCTGAAACAACTGTGTATAATTTTGGGCTTATTGGAACTGACAATGTTGAACAAAACTTGGCTTACCATTTCCGGCACAACACTACTTCAATTTTAGCTCCGAGTGACTGCTGAGGGTTGGAGAGTGTGAGGTGATGGAGACTTTGGTGGCGGAGCTGAAGTACCTCCGTCAACAAACTTCCGGTACGTTTCTCACCTAAGTACCGTGAAATCTCACGCAGTCGCTCAGTGATACCATCCTAGGAGCTGTGCTGGATTGCATTCACCAACAAATCACATGCCGCCCCCTTGTTCCGCACCGGGAAGTTTGCCGTTTGGTGCTGCAGATCAATCTCACTGGCCGACAGTACGCGGAACTGTTCAACAGTTTCCGCGGTCACACCACGCCAGCGGCACGTTCACCTCACTTGATGTCCTTCAGTATATGCGTGTGGAGAACGTCTTGTTCAGAAATAACTCACGCACCCGGTTCCTGCAGCTATTATAGGCCAATGTCGCCCTCAGTTCAAAAGATCTCAGTCATCGCCCCTAAACGTTGTCCCCAAGAAGAACTTGACAGTTCGTTACCTGATCTCAGCCAACTAAGTCTCTACATAGACTTTGGTAACGACCGAAATCTCCAGCCCGATAAAATTGGCTCATACTCCAGATACCAATCACAACTCGAGACGCTGCGAGGAAGCCGCGAACAAAAAATTTGGCCCTTTCGGACTTATTCGAAGGCCTGATTGCCTGTATCTACCGCTTACAGTGACCTGTGCAATTGCGCCTCATCTTAAAATGTTGACAACAGCGAGGCATCTATCCAGACTCCGCCAAATGATAAAATGAGCCAAGCTGACAATTTTTCCTCGGTCATTTGATGTACCCAGCCCGCCAACTAATTCGACCCATATCCTCAACTCTGTAGACCATCGCATTCGGCTTATACCTAGCTGCCCAAGGCCGTGCAATCGCTAGCTTGTTCTTTTCGAAAGAGGTGGAGACTGTGTACCCTGCTTTGCTAGCCGTCGGGGCAATCAGGGAAGCCACCGACCAATCTACAGCACTAAGTAGCCAAAACCATCCGCCTCAGTGAGAATCGCCGTTGACTGTTCGACCGTACCTTCAGGCGAGTTTTCCCTTTTGCGCCATATAAACGCATGATTTCCGCTAGGATCATTTTCTTGGTGTCTTCTAAATGCAAATAAATAATACTACACACATATTCGTCAACTTGTCGCCATCTTGACAGAACGTAATATTCACATGGAATAAAAACCTTTTGCTAGTCAAAGGCCGCACCATCTTCTATGCTGCCGAGTGCATGATAGTCACGACATTAACCGACTGCGAGCCCTACGCTCTCATCCGCCCTTTTTTAAGTGACAACGAACGACCTTCAGGGACATCAAAATTCTGGACTCAGCTCAACGCTCATTGACGACACCGTGCGTACTTTCAGCACCGCCGTTTCTTTCGTGAATGCCTCGTCACGCATCTGTACCGACATTGTTCAAATTACAACCTAATCGGAGGCAGCTGTTGCAATTCCAACGTGACGATGCGTTGGTTGAAGAAACCCGGGCGTCCAAGTCCTCGTGCACGCAGATCATGCCCCTTACAAACAATGAATGCGATCTCCTCTGTGACTGTCGCTGGTAACCTTGTGCCCGATGATACCAAGAAGCTTGCGGCACAGCTTTTGGGCCTTGCGGAGCGTCATTCCCGGGAATCCTTCTGGTTTATCACCCAGAGTCTTGTTTGCTCCGGCACTATTCCATGACTTTGGTGCATTGACAAAGGGTTTCCTAACCCGCAAGCACTCTAGCCCTTCACACGTTTCGGTCGCCCGATGTATAGCAAAGACACATCCACGTGAATGTCGTTAAACTCATGCCGTCGCCGAAAACGTGAGCTCATCTATTGATGTATGTACATTGTTCCGTTTCTCCTTCACCATCGATAGCACGACGTCAGTGTTCAATACCGATGCCTCACTGCCGTATTGTCAGTTGTGATTGCCAGGGTTATGCGGGGCATCGATAGCAGACGTCAGTGTTCAATACCGATGCCTCACTGCCGTATTGTCAGTTGTGATTGCCAGGGTTATGCGGGGGCCGGGATACTGTCGGTTCACTCACTACTAGACAGAAGAACGATTAGGGCTCTCAATCAAAGCTTTTGGTTCAAAAGCCTGACTGCAGGGCAGCGGTGTTTTGTGGGAAATACAAATACCTTGCTATTTCTACAGGACAGGTCGCAAAGTGTTCCAACTCACAACCTGAATGACCAGGAGACTGCGCTTGTCAGAACTCTAGCCATGGACCTCCCCCTCGGGAGAGACTGGGAGTCGCAGGGACACTCCACTATAGCTCAATGGGTCGATGAGGTGCACAAAACGCCACGCTACCGTAAGGTCTAGTCTCTTCGTGGAAAATCGTTCTATTTGCCGCACAGATGTTGCGCTCATCCCCAAAGCCGCGACTGCAACCAGAGCTTTGCTTTTCACTGGACAGTGATCTGCAAACCTAGATTACTGTCCAACATGGGGGAAGATCGGTGCCCGCAGTTTGAACCTTCTCTATTCATCTCTACTACCGCGACGTTATTTTTTCATAAGAAGCTGGTGGCAGCCTACCAAACTGGCGCTAATGGTTCCGAGGAATTCTGCTTTAGTCCGTTTGTCCTACTACTTCGTCAAAATGGAAAACCTCCTTCCACTTCTCCTGGGCACTGGAAATGTGGTACAACTGGACCACTAACGCAGCCAAACAGGGTTCGTATAAGACAAGAGTCCATAACATCTACGCGGAAGCTTCCTGCCCGGAAATCGGCAGCCATGCGGTTACTGTCATCCAAGCAAGATCCGAGACCTCCGGCCACCCGCTGAAAATCGATCACCGCAAACGCCCATGTCGGAATAAGTTACGGGTGCGTTGCATACCCTCGGCATCCAGCATGACAAAAGCACTCTAATGTACAGCACCAACAGGCACAATACTTAACTGAAAGACGGGAATTGCGGGACGATTTAGTTCAACTAAACCCAGCTAACCTTCGTTGACTTCGTTGTTTCCGCCTATTTTAACACGATTCACTTGAATCCGGCCCACCAACCACCCATATGGAGTACCATCAACCTCATCAGAACATGCTTGTTTGGCGATTTCTTCTACCATTATTTTGCTCACCGCCACCCGGTGCTCAAAGTAGCTCAGTCTGGGGGACGTGTAGGCCTTCAAAGCGACTCTTACAGAACTTCAGCGAACATTGCTAAGCACACTTGATACCGCTACCCGGCTTGTTCAACTTTTCATCAGGTGTGCTCAGTCGAGCCTGCATATATTTCTCTTGCCCGTTCGTGTGTTTTCACACGTGAAATACGGCGGTTAACAAAAGCCAAAAATACCAGCGTTCTTTCAGAAACAAGAAATAATCCGAAATGTATGTTGAATGTGCATTTAGAAGACACTTTCTCAATGATCACACACTTGTGCGTCCTGTTCCTAAGTTCTGCCGGTCGCCTTCGGTTTACACCTCTATCCTTCCCCATGAATTGTGGATCTGACAAACCGCCTTAACGCAAAACTTTACAGTCATCTGCGGCGCCTAAACGGGAGGTTTCTGCCGAGTATTAAGTCCTATTTCTCCGCTAAAGTCATGCACAACAGAAGTTAAATGATTGTAACAGAAGCTTAAGGCTGTCGAGCGCACAAGTTAGGTTTGACAGGAAACGAAAATGGCGCACCGATTCGTTCGTGACTAAATCCCAAAAAGATGAATGGGGAGAAAATCTTAAGGCCATACCTAAAGCCAGTCACGTCACCTCCACATGGGTCACCTTGGAAGTATCTTTTTATGGTGGTTGATGTCACCGGCATTGGATTACTGTGCGTTGTGCCTTAAGGCGCAGTTTTGCACCTACCATTGTCTTGTTTCACTGGGCAAACTGACGTATTCTTTCTCTTCTTTCCCTCAAAATTAATCAAACCATGTCAATGACTGCTGGTTCTAATAGGTCATCTAAAACTTTCAAACTTTCTTCACAAACCTTAAACCACGTATATCTGCCAGCTTCACTTTACGCGGAGCATGCTTTCCTGGATCCTTTAGGAGTGGGTCTTATTCAAAATATTGACTGAAGGGCCACTATCATACACCAATAAGAAGAAGCTTTTTGATCTTATCTTAGCCAATGTGCCGGAAGATAACTGAGCTGAGAGCCTCCCGAAAGCACACACTTTATACACTGGCGTATCAATCTCATTACGTTCATGCCACAACATGGGGGAGACTTCAATCGGCACAATTCATCCTTAAACAAAGGAATATATCGGAAAGCGCAATAAAATCAAATAAAATCAAATAGACCACGGGGAAAAGGTCAGAAGAACTAAATTTGAAACTGTCTGCCAGTTTCTTTCCATTTTTTGAGAGATTACTGTACAATGACGTTCTTATTTTTGCTCATTTCCGGTGTGGACCGGAATCCACACTGGGATGACACCAGTCTCAATATCTGTTCATAGACAACGGTTATTTAGGACATCCCCCAGGGTTGTCGCTTATCCATCCATTTAATAACACAAATATCATCCTCGGAATGTATTTAAGAACACGAACATAGGTCCAATAGAGAAATGACAAGTGCATATTTATGAGGTGCATTTGAACAGTCCCTTGGCTTGGTCTATACTAAGTCCGGTTACATTGCCTGGAGGACCAGAGTAGGGCTTCTGTTGCAATCTGTGTCACTCATGCCCCCACTTCCTGTTTGCTTGTCATTTGGCTAGTGAGGTACTGGTGTAACGGTGATACTACTGATCGGGAGGCACGCGAGTAGTATGTGTTGTTCGTAGAATTTCACTTTGGGTCGATTGAAAAATGGAATTCTGTTGCGGAATTCGTGGGACCACTGTGGAACATTTGCTTGGATTTGACCAACGAATGGG